GCTCTGTGAATACAAACAATATAGAATGTAAAGTTAGAATTTGGTAATACATCAGTCTCTTTTATAGGGAAATACATGTTCAATGTCTTGCTCAAGTGCCCGTGGGCATTCTGCCCGGCTACCTGGATGCCCGAATTTTGTGATCATTCATATCTTAATCATCTATAGTCACCATTAGATTCCATCTTGTCTCCTCAAGATTCTTTCTTATCCTAATTTATTACTTAGGTCGTGGTTCATATAGGTCCCTCCTACTAGTCAAGGTCGAATTGTATTGTACCCTTTTGGTGGTTAGGTCATCCTTTTTATGTCAAGCTGATATCCTTCAAGTTGTCTTTATGATTCCCAGGTCGCCTTATGTCGTCTTCGAGTTGCTTATGAGCCGCCCAGCCGTCTTAATCTCGTGGTTGTCTTGCCCTCCCTGTTACTCTTCTTTGAGGACAACTGTTCAGGTCGTCTTTCACCTTGGTTGAGTTCCGTACATTTGTAATAATTCAGTCTATATATGTGGAAATATCAACCTTGTATGAGGCTGAGGGTATTTCCACACATGCTCGATTATAACTCGCCACGTAGTTTCTCAACGACTCATATTCCTCTTGCCACATGGCCATCAATTTTAAGTACATCTTCTCCTGCACGAGTGCACTATCATATTGGTTCAAGAAAATGTTCGAGAAATCCTCAAAAATTCTTGATCGAACTCAGAGGTAGCTGGTGAAACAAATATTAAGATCCTCCTAGCAAAGTAGCCAAGAAAGCTCGACAACAGACTATGTTAGAATAGCCATGCAAGACCGCCATATTCTCAAATGACCTGACGTGCCTGGATGGGTCTGTTGACCCGTCATATGCTAAGTTCACTTTGCTGAAATATGTTGGCAACACCGCGTCGAGAACTTACCTTAAAAATAGAGTCCTCAAGCTCGACCAACAGGTTTTTCGTTTACAGCAGATCTGCTCTGTCATCCGCTTCATAGCTTAATATCTATGTGCCTCTGTACCTTGACTACACGATTCATCCATCTCTGTCTCCTGCTGGTTCGTCCCCACCACCGTGTTGACGCGGTGGTTACATGAGAAGTTTGGTGGGTGGCCTACTAAATTGCACCAGTCACGACGAAGTTGGTTATCATCCTCTCCAACACTTCCCTCATCATCGTCACGAGTTGTCCTCGCTCGGACTCCCCTTTCGGTGGCCCTGCTGGTGGTGAATGGACCGGATCTGACTGCACCTACGCTGGAACCACCACTCCTTGAGTTGCTCGAGCATCTTGTACGTGGCTTGAGCCTGAAATAGCAATAGGAATCGCCGATGAGCTCTTTAAACCTGTAGGATGAGGCACCAAGGTCTTAGACAGCCCGGAGAAGCTCGACGGTGGGCCTGCTCTGCGCTGACATATGTTCAGACACATGTTGTCAAACGTCTCTTCCAAATTCTTTCTAAGAATCTCACTCGCCATAGCTATGGTGTTTAATGGATTTTTGAACGAATGTCCCATAGACAACGCTAAATTGTACACAAAAGATATCTGACTAGCTAATTCGACCTGTTCTCAAGCTCCTCGCCGGTGGAACGCCTTGCAACCTGTAAAAACTCTCACACCAGAGGAGTTTTTTGGTGAAGAGCCTCAGATGCTTAAGTTTTCACTGTGTAAAATATGAAGTGTTGTATGTGTGCATAAAATATTGGAGAACGTAATGTGATAATGAGCATACCTAACTCCCTTTTATAGGGAGATGATACCTTGTTGCCCAAGACTGCCTGGGTGGGCTGCCCGAACTGCTGTCTGATCTTCCCTAACTTCTCAATTCTGTTATACCAACGTGGCCCTATCCACGTGTGGTTCTTATCCCCTTATGTTTCCTTCTTATCCATTAGTCTTTCGCATTAGACTGTCTAATGGTGCGACCAACTCGACTTCTTTTTGAGGTAGAATGTTGCATGTACCGAGCCTAAGTGTTATCCTTCTGGTCGATCGCTTGACCAACCCACGTTCAGGTCAAGTTTTCCAATAGGCTATCCGAAAGCCCTGACTCGACTTGTTGTTGCTCCTATAAACCCCTCATGCCTTCTTCGGCCTAAAGACTCCCTTCTCTTGCGTTCGATCTCTGTTCGACCTTCTTGCGGCTCTGTTCGACTAACTGGTTCGCTCGGCTAATCCGCCGGTTTATTGAGTTTTCTCTTCCGGGTATGGTATCTCACATCACAATTGAATACGTCTATTTACATACTTCTATCAATTTTTTAACTTACAAAATAAAACATGTGAGGCCTCGAGTTGAGGACTCCTGCTTCTTTCTGATGTCTCTATTACTAAGACCCCACTTCCTTTTGTATTGATATATGCTTGTTGGCATGCCATTCTTGGTTGATCCATTCTTCGTGGATTGATTGTTTATACATTGGTCGATCCATCGACTTTGGAGCACATTTACATAGATCAGGTTATACTTGTTCTAATCTGAGATAGAGATCTTGATTATAATGGTGCCTTGTGGTCTCGTCTGACCGTTATGGTTGATCTCGCAGGTCGGGATTACTCCTCGGGATGTGGCTGACCAGGCCCCCGAATTTTTCGTTTCACCCTAGATTGGCGTCTGAACTTCAGACGATCATTATCAAGAAAAAAAGTGGTGGCCATCCAGCTAATAAAAATCACTGGGTTGAAAATTGCAAAACCTATTGACAAGATCTGAGAATAAACCATATGGGATATTCTTCTTAGAGTCATCCTTAGGGTGTCTGGCTATTTTGTATCTGTATTATCTTTGGACCAATTTTTCTGCTTTCTTCATGTTCATGTTGAAGGTGAGCTAATTGATTCGTATTCTTATCGAAGGTGACCTAATACACAGATTGCTAGAATGTTTCGAATTTGATTTTATTTTTTTTATTTTATCTTTTTTTTTTTTTTGTTGTGAGAAGAGACAAAAAGCTGAAAATTTGTACTTTATTGAAGATTTTTATTTGGGCAGAGTAACGGGACGAAAATGAATGTTCAAAGGGTTAGTCTTGCCTCTCTTTTCAACAGGAATATTTAAATAAAAGGCATCACCGAGAGAAGCTACAAGTGATATATTTGCTTGGGTATAAATCTGTCTAGGATATGGCTATTTGTAAGAAGTGGTTCAAATGTTGCCCTTGATGGCCGCCTTCCTTCTAGCGATATTTTGTTGACGTTCGGGCATCAACCACAATTGATGGGGCAATTTTTAGGATGTTAAGGCAATCTATACTTATATTAAAAGCCATACTATTTACCAAAAATAGTAGCAAGAAAAGTCAACTTACATTTAATGCATACTTTATTTAGAAATTTTTTACTATATGCATTAATGCTTGCATATATACATTTTCTATTCAAATATGATCAAAAAGATTCTTTCCTTAAATAATTTTATTAACTTCTGCAATGATTTTACTGATATATATTATAATTCATATTTGTCGATAGTATTTTTTATTTTTTATTTGAGTATATAAAACACAAATATTTATTTTAATTAATATTTTATTTATCATTTAAGAAATAATGATCACATCATTAAATGATATTACTGATGGCTAGATAATAAATTAAAATACATTAATTATTCTTTAAAATTTTGACATGTTATTTATTTGTATCTATATTTATTATATAAGGTATCCTATTTACCAAATTTAGTAGATTAAAAAGTCAACGTAATTAATGCATTGCTATTTCTATCCAGAATTTTATTTAATTATTTTATTTATTTGTCTTATATCCCATAAAATCAGTTTAAGAAAAAAAAATCTCATAACATCTGACAAGTAAAAAAAAGGACGTAAAATCTTTACCAAAATAAAAAGACTATTTATTTGTCTTATTACATATTAACATTGATTTTGTCAAAATAAATCTCATAAAATCAGTGAAGTCAAATTTTGTACGTAAAGTCTATCTATCCAAAAAAAAAGGTCAAATTCAAAATTCCTTATCTAATTCCTTCTTTTTCTTATCTAATTCCTTCTTTTCCTTATCTAATTTTTTTTATTATCTAATTCAATCCTCTAATTGTATTTGTATTATATTTCATAAAATCGGTTTAACAAAAAAAATCTCATAACATCCGATAAGTAAAAAAAAACAAAGTACGTAAAATCTTTATTAAAATAAAAAAGGCTTTATTTATTATCTAATCGTATGGAAATCTGTTTTGATTTTATGGTACGTACTACAAGTTGTGCACCCGTGTTCAGGAGCTACTTAACGGGCAAGCTCTGTGAAAATGACTCATTTAGTGCTTCTGTCCCGTGCATACGGTATGTATTTTTATTATATATACTAGAAAATTGTGCACCCCGTGCATCGCACGGGCTCTGTACTAATAAATGACCTTAAAATTGTGCACCCCGTGCATCACCCGTGTTCACATTTTGGCCTATTACAGGTCACGTACTATATATATTTCGTACATTTTTTTTTATTCATTTATATAATTATAAGAATGGATAAATGACCGTAAAATTGTGCATCCCGTGCATCGCACGGGCTCTGTACTAGTTAAGAAATAACGGAATAACTGTTTAATTCATGCTAAACTAAAGTAATGAATATGAGGTGCATGAGCCAATGGCTTAAAGGAAAAGGTTGTTGATCCCTCGACAACCAAAAAACAAAGAACCTATAAAAGCCTTCTTAGTGTTAATTTTTTTGTAATTATATCGAGGATGATGTTTTTGAGGTCGGAAGGGCCATATTTATATAGATTGGAGAAACTAGCACACCCATACTACGCCCGACCAAACAACTGGCTATATATAGATTGGCACTTTTCAAAATTCAAGTGTAAGAAATACATGTCAGCTTTAATATAAACCTGTGGTCAGTATTTTTTACAGTTGCTACGACATCAACTTGACTATTATACAGATCTACTAGATCAACCTGTTCCGAAATTTCTATGATTGAATTGAATTTGAAGATGTATGTTTAGGACCAGTTTTAAACACAAGCGATACGGTTTCTAGTTTACAGAAGTGTATCTCGGATTACACGAGCAAGTACACGTGAGGATAAACGACTGATGACCTCAGGTAGCACTTTGGCTGAAAGTCCCGGCAACACCGGGAGCAACTCTTGGATCACTCGAGGAACATTCACACCCTGCAGATATACAAAGTTGTCTAAGATGTTGATGGTTTGTTGTTCAATTTTGTTATTAAGTCAATCAAATATAGCAATCTTTCAGGTTATTAAAATGCTTTTAGCAAAGCTTCTCATTCATTCATGCGGAAATTTCTAATCAACTTATATAGTTTCTACTCACTATTGCTAGAATCGAACCAAGTACTTGCTCAAGCAGTAGAAAATGTCTTAACAGATAAAGTCTCAACAGATTATTTCTCTTATAGAATGCATTTTGTTGTTCACTACAGATCATATTTTTCAGTCACCTTGTTCAAATGGTTTACACCGAGTACAAAAGTAATGTTTCTACTCTGCAACCTGTTTTTGTTCCATAAGAGAATCACAAACCTTAAGCTACATTTTTTGTTCCATGTACACAGTGTGAAGATTAAAAATTGATCATAGTTGTTCAATTTTCCTGTTATTGTGAAAAGGAAAATGAAAAAAAAAAAAAAGGAAACAACCTCAACAGCTAAGATTTTACAGCTGAATGTACAACCAGAAACGTGATATTTACCTGATTTGAAGAAGATACAGTTCCGTCAGTCAAGAATTCAATGATTTTCTGGACATTGTTCAGTATGACTTTGTCTTCCTCAGTTATTGTAGGAAGAAGTGCAGAGGTCCTGATAGGTCCCAGAGTTGGAACCAAGCTAAAAACCGGGGTTACATTTCCTATCCCAAAAAGAGCCATTACTTGCACTAGCTGTTCCCTGGTGATGGCATCTATGCCTTTCACAATCTGTTTGCCAGTCAATTATTATGTGACAATTAGGACCATGTAAATCCATACTCAGAAACAACAAATGTCAGTCACTGTTAAAATAAAATGCACATAAATGTTTTTGAGATGCATATGCATGTAACACTTCACTGTATCCATTTTCTTTTCATCCACAAATGTATCAAAGATTCTCTGCTCTTCACCATTTTGAAATATCTTGACCATTATATGTGAGTACATATTCTCAGATCCATCTTACGGACCATATGGTAACATAAAATTTCTAGATTTATCTTCCAATAATATAGAACACCTAGATGGTTGGCCTACTAAAAAGATGGACCTCTTAACCATCTTCATGAGCATACACGAAAACAGGGCCAATAGTCGCTTTAAATTGATCCAAATTATGAGGAAAGTTTATAGATGTTCAGAATAGTTATCTCAGCTGGAAATTACCTATTGAGTGCTATTCTGGGAGTTTAATCATAGCAAAGTTGCTCTCGGCATCATACTCAAGATAAAAAGTAAATACACATGTGCAAAGCAAGAAATAATACACCTGCTAATATGCAACTGATGATGAAAGTATTTCTTTAGTATTGCCCTGATTTCCTTTCAAGCAATACTATATGACTGCACTAGACGCATACTTTTCAGATTGACAAACGTTAACCAAATCTAAAAACCCAGAGCCAAAACGTTTTGCGAAAACACAGTGAACAAATATAGGTGATAAACATAATCAGAAACTTGTTCCTGGAAATTAAATATACCTCGTCTAACAGAAATTCCGTGAAAAAGTTTCCCTTGTCAGATAGTAAAAATCCCAAGGCCGCCCTTGTTTGAATAGGTTGGGCTTGAGAAGCACTCGGTGTAAAACCCGGAAGCAAATTATTTGTCCGATTTTGTAAAATGCCAAGCTCAGCCATTCTTCCATTAAGATTTTCCCCACCTCCACTCTTTGCTGCATCAATGAAATTCTCAAATGCTTGCATGACATCAATAAATCTTTCAGCATCAAAGACTCCAGATTTCCCATATATTGTGTAACGTAAGGCAGACCTTAGACGCGGGGATTCATCAGTTAGTAGCCTCTGCAATCCACATAGAAGAAGAAATAAGAGATTAACCCCTTCATAGCACCACATGGAAGATTTACTTAAAACAAGAGGCAAAGAACTTTGTCCCATAGGCTGGCCTAACACTAGTTCAGGTGGAACTAGGAGACTAACTTGCTTAACACATTCATGAATAATGGAGTTCTAATACCATCATGACCACTAATATATGTAGTTGTTGGGACACAAGTCCTAAATATCCATACATTGTATGCATGGGGATGAACATCAAGTTATAATACACGAGTGTCCCTTGTGCATACCTGATGCTTAGAGGGGCTATGCACAAAAGCCTAATATCACAAGG